TTCTGTCATCGTCATCCATGACGGAACTAGGGGAAAAGCTCAGCAGAATCTTGGATTCTGGCATTAGATGACTTGCATTCGCCCGGATAGCTGCTACGATGTCGGATCGCTCCTCCCTTCCGGGATGCAGTATCTCGTTGTGAACATGAAGCTCAGCAGACGTGCGGTAGGTCTGGAACGACCCAAGTCTATCTTGGAAATTTCCACAGTAACGCGGACCAAGTTTGTGGTACACGGCGATCAGCTCATCCGACAGGGGTTCAGAGAAGAGGTGGAACGAAGCAACTGAGAGCTTAGAAGAGATGACGTTTCTGCCCAGTCGGGGCGCCAAGTTCCGTGGTGTCCCCAGAAATGCGAGTATGTGGTGCTTCGACACGCTGGAAGACATGGAGGCAAAGCTCTCCTGGCTGCTATCTAGCACCGGAGGATGTGAAGGATAGTGTGCCTTCATAGTCTCGGTGAACTCACCATCTACAAAAAGTGATGCTTTGGCAGCACCCATACCAATAGCCTTTGTTCTTTTGTGGACAATAGCGATGTGATACCACCGGCCCGCTTCGAAACGAGGTGCTTTCTTAAACCGGACACTAGGTACAACACCAGTAGAATGACCCATATAGGTCTGCAGGATAAAGCAACGAGTATCTCTTTCCAGATATGCCATTAGGAAACACGTTTGCGTATCATCGTAAGCGCCAAAGAGTGTAGTGTGACAGTTGGTATCGAATCTGTCGACTCGTATCCAGGCCGCGAACGTGTATCCGCCTCCCGTAGACATGGGTGGAAATGGACGACCGATATCTGGAAGTTCAATCGCACTGAAGCCATGCAGAGAGAGATCGAACTGTATGAAAGGCGGGTCGCGAGACGAGCGCATACCGCGTAGGAGGAACTTGGCAGCTGATTCCGAAGACGCTGCTTTGCGGAAGAGATAGTATGCATCGTCGAGCTTGTTTATACCGTACTGCACTAAGCCATCGGCCAGCTCTAGTAATAGGCCAGCTTCTACAGGAGCGCACTTGTTCTCAAAAAGAAGAGGCAAGACTGTACTCAAGACGCCAGTGACATGTAGAGCAGCTTTGTTGAAGGAAGAGATGGAAACGATCTCAAGGATGGCAAGCAACACCGAAACAGAGAGAGCCTTGGACCGTGTGCCTGGAACATCTTCACCAGACAAACCCTGCCAAAAGTGGAATATGGTTGGGATGATGTCTGGGTTCTGCAGTATCTCATTGCCGCTGAATATAGCGCGGACCTGGCTGCACAGGGGGTCGAGATCGATGTCGGTGTCACTGTACATGGACCGCGGGCTAGAGACTACAATTTCGGTAGCCTGTGAGTCGCCATCGGGGTCTGCATTTTCCTCCGTCTTTGACTGTGTGGTGTCGAGCTTCTTATCAATGTCTCTGAATATGCGTGTCATGGCCTCTTCGCCCAATGCAAAAGCAAACAGGGTGCCGAACAGCTGTTCCTGACCAGCATCGTCGCGCTTGCTCTGTGACTGCCCGCCGAAAATTCCTGTGCTGCCCAAGGCTTGTTCCAAAGCACTCCAGCCGCCGTGCTCGACTCGCTTTGCAAAGAAGCGCCTGTTACCGGCATGCTCGTTCAGCGCGTCTGACAGGACATCCAGCGTTCCCTTGATCACCTCGAAGAAGTCGATGCGGTCGGGGGTAGGCAGCTCGGCGGGCTTATAGAAGCCAGAAAGCGAGCGCAGGGTGATGAGGAGCGTCTCGAAGCCTCGGACGTGTCGGAAGGCATCTTTGGTATGGGTTTGGTCGTTTGATTCGATCAGCAGCTGGCGCATGCGGCGGAGCGCGTTGCTCTGGTTGTGGAGGACTTCGGTGGTCGGGGGAGTGGCTTCGGACGCTCTGATCAATTCGTCCGCTAGGCTTCGGAGTTCGGCTATCTGGTTGTTCATGGGCGGGAGTCTTGAGGCGGCTGTGGAGGACCTGTGAGGCCGGGAAGTCGCCATGTTCAGTCAAGGCCGCTGCTGCAGAAATTCGGCGGGGAAGATGGCTGCGTGGATAGCACCTTCATATCTCCAAAGCCCCAAACCCGCACACGAAGCTCGAATGCGCCGACGAGCAAAGCGGGGTCTTTTTGTCGTGGGTTGGCGTATATCGAGGGCTGATTACGGCGGGCGGGCGCCGCGTTCGTGGTGGTTGCTGCTAACTCGGTCATCGAAGCTGATCCCTGTCGCTCCAGAGCTCAGGCAGCCGCCGAGCAACGTCGCGTCGTCGCAAGCAAGGTACACTGATAAAGAATGCGCTATTTAGGAACAGTGCACGTAGTCTGTCTAGACAACCAATGCAGTTATGATAGACAGCGCTCCGTGTCTCACGCGGGCCGCTTGGTGAGCTTCTGACTATTGCCTCACGTGAGGACGCATTGTGGCTGACCCTGGGGAGTGGCTGTTCGAGCGTGTCGTAGCCTGCATCCCGTCCAACATCAGACGAATGCATGTTCAAGCCAACGCCTCTAACCAAGCCCAACAACTGCGAGGCGCGTTCATCGTTCGAATATCGTTGCCACGGACGCCCTGATACCAACCATGTATCATTCATCTGATACTCATGGCGCGTGCGCTAGCTCACCCCAGCCTCACTCGCGCGGGCGCGGATAGGTCATGCGTCATCCACCTAGCGCGCCCGGGCCATGCACCTCGGTCCTGATAAGAAGCTCCCATCGCCATAGCTACCCCAGCTGCATCCCCATCTCTCCTCCACAACACACGCCTCCCTCTCATCCCCCATCCTTCATCTATCAAGCTTCTTTCATCTCCCTTTTCCGCTTGTCTTTCTAGTTCTCGCTGTGCGAGCTACCGCAATCATGAAGTACAGCTACAGCCTGATCGCCGCGCTACCGGCTTTGGCCGCTGCGTCACCTACCTTCCAGGCAGAGACCATCCACAAGGGCTCAGCCCCAGTGTTGTCATCGACGTCGGCCAAGGAGGTGCCCAACAGCTACATGGTCGTCTTCAAGAAGCACGTCAAGGATGCCTCCAAGCACCACGACTGGGTCCAGAGTGTCCACTCCAAGAACAACGAGGAGCGCATGGAGCTGCGAAAGCGCTCATCGCAATTCCCTGTCACTACTGAGGTCTTTGATGGTCTCAAGCACGTTTACGAGATGGCCGGCATGAAGGGCTACTCTGGTCACTTCGATGACGAGACCATCGAGGCCATCAGAAACCACCCCGATGTAAGTTCCATCTCCAGCTCCATCTATCCCAAAAGGCGTTCGCTGCGATTCAGGCTATCACGAACTGCGTGGCCTCGACGCGCTGGCGGCCTTATCTCCGCAGGCAGCTCCGGCTCCGCACGCCATCGCAACCACACGTGACGCCATCTAGGTACTTTGTACCTGCATAAGACTTGGCGCTAACAACTTGATAGGTCGACTACATCGAGCGCGACTCAGAGGTCCACACTCTCGGCCACGACGACCCAGAGATCGAGAAGAACTCCCCATGGGGTCTTGCTCGTATCTCGCACCGCGACTCCTTGAGCTTCGGCACCTGGAACAAGTACCTCTACGCTGCCGACGGTGGTGAGGGCGTTGACGTTTACGTCATCGACACTGGCACAAACACCAAGCACGTCGACTTTGAGGGTCGTGCCAAGTGGGGCAAGACCATCCCCAACGGCGATGCCGACGAGGATGGCAACGGCCACGGCACCCACTGCTCCGGCACTGTTGCTGGTAAGAAGTACGGTGTCGCCAAGAAGGCGCACGTCTACGCCGTCAAGGTGCTCCGCTCCAACGGCTCCGGCACCATGTCCGACGTCGTCAAGGGTGTCGAGTACGCTGCTAAGGCGCACTCTGACACCGTCCAGGCCGCCAAGGACGGTAAGAAGAAGGGCTTCAAGGGTAGCGCTGCCAACATGAGCTTGGGAGGTGGCAAGTCCACCACCCTTGACCTTGCTGTCAACGCCGCTGTTGACGCTGGTATCCACTTTGCCGTTGCTGCCGGTAACGATAACGCCGACTCCTGCAACTACTCCCCAGCTGCTGCTGAGAACGCCGTCACTGTCGGTGCCTCCACCCTCCTTGACGAGCGTGCGTACTTCTCCAACTACGGAAAGTGCAACGACATCTTCGCCCCTGGTCTCAACATCCTTTCCACCTGGATCGGCTCTGAGCACGCCACCAACACCATCTCTGGTACCTCCATGGCTTCTCCCCACATTGCTGGTCTCCTTGCCTACATGCTGTCTCTCCAGCCTGCCAAGGACTCTGCCTACGCTGTCGCCGACATCACCCCCAAGAAGCTCAAGGCTAACCTCATCTCCGTCGCTACCGTCGGTGCTCTCTCTGACGTCCCAAGCAACACCAAGAACATCCTCGCCTGGAACGGTGGTGGCTCTTCCAACTACACTGAGATCGTTGAGAAGGGTGGCTACACTGTCAAGAAGGCTGCTGAGAAGAACGAGGAGGAGTCCGAGTTCCGCATCACCATCCCCTCTCTCTCCGAGATTGAGGATGACTTCGAGAAGGCTAAGGAGTCTGCTGGCCGCAACGCCCACCGCGTCGGAGGCAAGCTCCAGCACCTTGAGGCCGAGATCGAGGACTTCATCGCTGAGGAGATGGAGTCCATGTTCGAGAAGGTCAAGGAGCGCGTCGCTAGCCAGTAAATGTGACATGTAATGATCGTTAATATGAATCCAAGAGGGTCTACTGCTATATGGAATGGGATGGGTACGGTACTGGCGTTGGGTTCTTTTTAAGGAGCATATTTCTCCTATCTCATTGGGCTCAAGTTGATGGACTGTACGTTATGGAATCATTCTTGACATGGAACGCAATGTGAGGTAGATTAGATATCTGGAATGGATCTAACTTTCCTCCGCCATGTTTGCTCTTCACTCCCTGGTTGTTTCTATGTGATGTTGTTGATGCAAGCTCGTGTTCTGAGACTCCGCCTTGTTCCAGAAATGCTATCCTACTGCACCTTGCCTTCGGAACCATTCTCCAATGTCTGCTCTCCTTTCCCTGCATACTCAAGTGGAGCGCTTCAAGCCTGCCTTGGCTTCGCATACACGTCTGAGAACCTTGAACATGAACTTGGTATGCTTGTTCAGTAGATCTGCAAAGGCTGGCTTGTTGAGCAGTTCGACATACAATCCAATCATCTCGCAGAGTACATCTCGTAGACCAGCGTCACTATCCGGTGTACTGCTGAGAACGTGGTCTGCTACTTCTGTGAAGGCTTCGTCTTTCCACGCTTTGTTGCTGATCATACAGAAATTTGTGCGTGCTAGCTCCTTGAGGCCTGCCACATCGTATTTGTCGCCAATCGCGTACATCTTAGAATGAAAGAGCAACAACTTCGGGTCGGTCATGTCTTCTCCTTCGATAATCGGGGAGCAGGTACTGCATGTGAAGTTGCAGTTTGAAATACAGTTACTGGTGCAGCGATGATGCGGGCAGACCCAAACGCTAGGATAATGACAACCTTGACCACATTTATGAGGAAAATTCAAGAGGTAACCACAGCCACCGGGGCTGCGTTGCGATCGCAGGTCTATGGCAGCCTGTTTCTGCTTGCGTTTCTGCTCGCATTTCTCGTCGGAATCCACTTCGTAATCATTTTCATAGAGGTACTGAACGAGCAGTCGTACGATTTCCGGCTCGTCTTGAAGTAGATCGACTTTGCTTCCACTTCCTTCCTGTTATCACATTAGCACTGATGTCGAACGCATCTGCAGAGTTCATAGTGGACATACTTCGCCAACAGGCCGCGGAAACCTTTCAGCGCGCTCGAAGAAGCCAGAACGCTTGCAGACAATGTTCTTGTGGACGCGGTATGTGTCACTGCCGCATGTGATTGTGAAGTCAGAGTAGTCGCCTGAAGCTAACAACCTAAGTGTTGGTTAGTACGAAGCTTGTTCTGGCTGAAGTATACTCTCAATTACTACAGCATACCGTAAAGGTATACACAGGTTTCTGCGCTACAATTCCAGCAGGAAAAGAGCTATGTATACATTGGAAGTACCTTTTGGTAATGAGCTTTTACTTACTCCTTCATCATCGCCATATGAGCGTTCGACACTGGAGTAGCCATCGCAGTAGGTGTTCTCGATACGACGTTGGAGTTGGAGAAGAGATTGTAACAAGGGTTGTGAGAAAAGGTCCAGGAAAGTTTTAATCTGGCTTTGCTAAGTGTCACATTGACGAAAAGCGTGTTTATGGAAAGTGAGATAGACGAAAGCTAACCACGGACATACGCATTCAATGAGATCCAAGGTGAAGGTGAGAATGAAGGCCTTCCTATGACAAGAATATCCAAGCTATCTCTTTGGCAAGATAATACAGTTCAGAAAACAATGGTTCGTTCGTAAAAGATAAAATCTTTTTCATGATGCATGTGCACTAGCCAGAGGTCTTGATCCAACCCAAATCTTTCGCGCGCATGGTGAGTAAGCTCACGGCCAGGCCGTTGAACTCGTGGAGTAGCGCTTCAACCGCTGGCGAGTTGAGCATGTCCATATGATCTGCAATGGTCTGGGTGACAATATCTCTGAGCCCTTTGTCGTTCTCGGGTGTGGTGGAGAAGGCGTAGTGAGCGGCCGGGGCAAACAGCACATCGTCCCAGTACTCGTCACATAAGAGGGAGAATTTGCTAAGAGCGAGCTTCTTCAATCCGAGCACGTCGTACTTGTCGCCAATTTCGTACATTTCAGCGCTGAGGAGGAGTTGTGATGCGTCGGATGTTGACTTTGATTCTGTGCCAGAGGCCCAGTCAGGGCAGCACTCTAGGCATACGAAGTTGACGCATGCCTCCCTACAGGTCGTGCTGCGGCATTCATGATGATGGCAGACTCTGTAGTTGTCCGGACAGTCTGGGAGGCATGTGTGTGGAAAATCGTATGAATATCCTCCTCGCTTCACACACTTTGCCTGTGGTTGGGCTGTATCAAGCGTCATGTCAGCTAGTTTGGTATCGTACTCGCCTTCATATAGGTACTGCACAAGTAGCTTTACAATCACTGGATCTTCCTCTGAGAGATCGGCTTTGGCAGTTGCGGCTCCCTACTAGGCGCGTTAGTTTGTTTCAATGCATTGTGCGTGCAAAGGAGCTATTTTCTCTCTGGCTTGTTGCCTCATGTCGAGAAGGTACCCTCAAGGTAGACACCTACTATGTTCTACAAGTATCGTAGAACAAGGTAAAGCGGATGCCTTCAGGGTACCTTTCTAGTACGAGGTTACACTCCAGAGAAGACAGGCAACTTCGCAGGCTATGTATGACGTACTTGATTAGCAGTGAACCTCTCCGCGCCCTTGAAGAACCCCGATCGAGTGCAAACCACATTCTTATGGACGTTGTACGTGTCAGATCCACAGGTGATGGCAAAGTCAGAGTAGTCGCCAGATTCAAGCAAGCTGCGATGGTGTTAGTCTTTTGGAAAAGCGCTCGATTGACATATATGATCGATTCACCTCTTGAATGTGCGCATGAACTCCTCGCGCGCCTGTTCCGCCATATTGTTGTGGAACAAAATTGATTCCTCACTGAGTTTGGTGGGTGAGTATTGTCTCGTCGGAATGTATACGGACAGAAGATCAACTAGACGAGTGTAAAGCAAAGACTCAAGCCTTGGTTAAGGCTGGAGGTGAAGGCGAAGAAAACCTACCCTAGAGGTACCTGGTAAATGTTAGGTTTACCTGTGCTGTCGTAAAACCTATGAAATGCTTTTTGGGCTATTGTTTACTTGGACATATATAGAGAGAAGCGAACCTCCTTTGTATCATGTTAGCGCGCGCTTTGCCATGCTGCCCAGCTCGCTCGAGAAAGACGCATATTGCTCTATCATCCTTTGAGAACCGCCGACATGTGTGCTAAGCGTAGATAGGCGATGAGAACTAATTTAAACATACTTATGCGACTATTGCTGCTTGTGCTATGGTGTTTCGCGCATGTGCCTTGTTACTTGGAAGAGAAACAGATGATGGAGAGGATGGTGGCGTTAGCGCCACCGCGTCATGTCAGCTCCCTTCCCTTTCTCCAGGGTCGCGCCAAGTTTATCTTCGCGTCGCGATACGGTCCGCAGGTTGACGACGGACGCCTAACCACCCGGCGACAAGGCGAGCCGCCTTATTGTCACCATCTCTTGCAAGGCTGAGTACTATCTGCAAGGCTTGCACCACGGGAAACCGGGACGAGCTAAGACCAATGCCTACCACGCACGATGCACAGCTTGTAGGACCGCCACTCCAACAACGCCAACATCACCCACCATCACCGCGATGTGGAAACTCATTCACGAAATCCAAGCAGATCTGCTTCCTTGGCTGTAATCCGTAAACTGGTGGCCTTGCATATTTACGCCACTCGATCGGCAACATTTTGTGATAGCTAGTATGCTGTAAACTTCGAAACTGGCCCCCAATTCGAGGGGGCGGTGCTGCAGCCAGCACAAAAGCGAATTCGCGACTTACGCCCGGTATCCCCGCCTTTTACTGGCTTGAGGGTGGCGTGCAGTCTTTCACGTATCTCTATCGTGTTCCTGCTTTCCTCGTTACTAACGGCTTCCTTCTTGTATCGCATGCACAACCGAGCGCGTGATGGTTTGTGATAGTTGCGTGTTCACTTTTCCGCTCTCACGATGATACCGAAACTATCCCAGTTCTCATCCACTTTCAGCACAGCACCCTCACACTTTACAACATTCTGGCGCCAACCGCATCGACAAGCGGCCAAGGACATCCGCAGAAGATGGCGGCGCTGTGCACTTTGGATACTTCTCGCAGCATGGCTTGCACTCTTGTTGTTTGCCTTTGCTATACTAATAGCGCCAACTTCCAGCGTTGATTCTGGATCTCAACCAGCCTGTTTACCCGACGATTCTTTTGCGCTGGACCCATCGAAGTTTCGATTCCTCAGCAAATCTGGCTTCTTCCAGATTACATTGGGATTTGGGCATATGAACTTCACAGAGGTGAAAACTATAGACATTGCCTGGGACATTGTGAGTTTAGGCACACTGCAGCCTGTCTATACTGCATTTTGAGACGTTTAAGAAGCTGACTTTTACAAAGCTAGTCGGCCGCGGTGGTCAAGCTCTCGTCGCGTATATCTCCTGGCGCGTCTTCGCTCAGTATGTTACAACATCCATGGAAGTCACGCCTGTCACGTTTGGGACATATCGAACGATTTTTCTCCCGAACGGCGGCCTTTTCGTTTCTACCCTGTGTATGATCCGCGATTTCGTGAGACGTCACGGGCTACATTCGAAGATAGCCATGGTCTTCATGGTGTGCACCATGACTTTCACCTTTGTGTACCCGACCATCGCCAGTGCAATGACGGGTTATAGCGCGAATGTTGATGCTTTTATCCAAACAACAGGAGGCGAATACGTCCCTTTCAACGCATTTAGCTTCGCATACTTTGTCATCCATGACGGTTCGCGGATCGATTTAGAAGACGATCATATTGCACTAGATAAAGATCCTGAAAAGAGCAATTACCAGTGTAAGTGAGCTGAGCGGAAAGTTGAGTAGCTTTATCTGGTCTGACCCGTCTTACACAGATCTAAACAGGTTTGAACCAGTAATCCCATTGCTCGGCTCGCTTGATGGGAGATTCAGCACGTGCCATTGGGATCCGTCAAGGAGTGGCAACAGGGACTTCAACTCTACGTACTGTGAGTTGCAGCGCAACGTATCTAGGTGTAAGCTACATCATGTAGAATTAAATGGCTATTGCTGATTTCCACGCAGATGCTGCAGAATACGGCTTCAACAGAGGAGACAAGATAAATTCTACCTTTGGAGGACAACTTCTGCCGCCGCCTACACTCAACATCTCAGCGCCATCTCTGGTTAGGACCACGAAGTATGAAGATGAAGATTATGATTCTTACGAAGACCGATTATTTAGAGTCACTAATGACCCATCGCAAATGCTATGGGCATACGATAACAAGACATACGATTTCAATTACCTACAAGGGAATGGGAAGTGTCAGGCTGCGCTGGTATGTCTGTTGTCACTCGGGTCTTCATTGTCTAACTGAACCGTATAGGACTACAAATGGGGATTCTCATACATCCAACTATTCATTATGGTAATCTTCCACATAGTTTGGACTCTTGGACTCTTAACCATGTGGATCAGAGCCTGCATGGTTATGAAGAAACGAGGGCGAGGCAGAGAAGACGTGGCAGGAGAAAATAAGGCTGTTTTCGAACTTGCAGCCGCGATGCGAGAGCAGATGAATGAGCCTACAAAAGAAGAGGGCGACGATGTGTCTGCTTTGACCGAAGCAAAGCTGCGACGACGCATTAAAAACAATCTACGCGGGGGGTCCATCTCATACAACACTCCAATACTTCCGAACGGGGAAGGCGGCGAGAAGTGGAATGCCATAGCTTGGATAAAGAGCCACAAGCTGAGCATCATTGCGATGATCGTATGCCTTGTGGCGATGATGATCAATTTGTTTGTTTGGGTACCAGACGATACCGGTACCGTCGCCCTTCTCCCATTACCCACCGTGTTGATCGCCGCTTTGTACATCGGGTCAACCAGGGGAAGTCGCATCGTCTTGTTTGTCTGGATCTTCATCCTTGTCGTCATTCCGACGCAGATTACCGTATCTATAGCTACATATTAATATCAAAATGTTGTAGTTTTGATCGCTTGAATGGACTTCTCATTATTAATTCTGCTAGGCTTTGTAACATAATCAACACCAACCTCCCAGGGTATGCGATTCTTTCTCTGTATCAATTGTAAACGCGCCTCATGTCAAAATCCGCGGACTATCTATCCGCACCGGCGCACTCCCAAAAACAGGCTCCAACCTCACACCGCCAAAACTCCAGCCATCAACAAAGACGCCCTCTTCAAACCTCTTGCTAACGATAAACCCCAGCGCCCCATCCAACCCTACACTAACCTCAATATCCCCCTCAATCTCCACCCACCCTTTCCCCTTGAACTCTTCATACCGCTTCGACCCCACCCTCACCCTCACAGCATCCGGATGCAACAACACACTGCCCACATCCGGCGTAATCTTGACATCAACATACCGTTGCGAAAACGTATTCGGATCAAACGGTTTCCCAACGCTAAAGACGAGATCCCGAGGCGATGTATACGAACTGCTGTGAAACGAGACGAGGAACTGGACTTTGTATTTTCCCTGCGGAATCCCCGTCTTGATCGTCCGGAGACAAACATTATCAGCCTTGATACACTGATACACTGCCGCTTCCTCGCGTCGCCCATCATGATCCAAATCCTCGGCAACAGGGTAAACCCGCTTCAGCCTCCCCGTCTCATTATCAATCGCAAGACCGCTCTCTCCACTCGGCGATAAATCACGGTATTGTGACATTTTCGGTAGATCTTCTAGATGCGGGCTTACACCAAGTGGCATCCCCGTTTTAAAATCCACCTGCGCGAGTTGAAACGACGAATCCATTAGACCGCGTCCAGTCATTCCAAGCCGGAAGTGACTAGCACTGATTTCGAATCTGGGCGGGAGCGCCGAGAGTTTAGCCATGCGTTGGCCAAAGTCCTTGGCCGACCGGATTTGCTCGCCGTCGTTCATGTAGAGTTCGGTTAGGGACGCCATTTCATCTTCCTTCATCCACTGCTCTAGACTAACGTCTGCGAGCCCGCGATCAACGTCGAAGCGGAAGTACTTTGTGTCGCTGTTGTTGTACATGCGCTTCATTTCGTTGTCGACGCGTGCGGTGGATGTGGCCATTCCGGTGAGGGCGCTTGCAATGGATATGTCTGTTCCGAGGCCGAACGGCAGCCAGGATGCCATTTTCTTTACGCTGGGTATGGATTGTAGACCTGTTCCTACGGAAACTATGACACCGATTGAGCGGCCTTCCCAGAGGGCTTTTGCTGCATAGTCGACTTCTGCGCAGGGGTTGTTGAAGCCTACGCCACCATCTAGGTAGGTAACTTTTGGTGTGCCGAATTGCATTTCCTCGAAGAAGGTTGGTGCTGCAGAGGTGGCGCGGAGGGCTTCCCAGATACGGGTCGTTCGGTCGTTGGGGTCGTATGTTGAGAGAATCCTGGGGAGACCTAGAGCATTCTTGAGAGACGTGAGGACAAAACCGCGGCAGCCTTTTGCGTTTGCTTTTCTGTGGACGGATTGCCGGTGGTGCAGTTTCCAGGTTGCGCTTCGCATCGGTTTTCTGGGACCGAATGGACTGTCGCTGTACAATGTTGACGGAGCTATGGTGCTATCCATGCTGTCGGGGGGTCCGGAGGCCAACGAGCATTCTGAGTTCTTGAGTGTGGCTACTGGGCTCTCTGTGATAAGGGGTGCTGGTGCTGCGTCTGCCCAGATGCTGTCCCTGGGTAGATCATTCGCTTCGTCCACCTCTTCAAACAGTGCTTCATCCCACATGAGTTCGTTTGGATCGAAACCTAGATCTTTCAGTGCAGTCTTGATGGCGTTTGCAAGGACGGTGCCTGAGAAGCGACTGGCTCCTGTTGGGATCTTCATGCCAAAGGCCTTGAGCGATCTGTCGTGCTTGAATATCTGCTCAGCTAGTTTACTGTACACCGCAATACAGTCTTTGCAGTTTAGTCGTAACCGCGAAAGCATGATAGCTATGATTCCACCCGTCGATGTTCCGCCAATAAGATCAAAGTAGTCACATGGTTTGAGCGGTTCGTGGTCGTTCATTGCTCTCCTTCCTAGTCTCTTCTCTTCCAAAGCTATGTTCTCCATCAGATTCTCGAGTACCAGTAATGACGATAGTCCTCGTACACCTCCTCCGTCCAACGATAGCAGGCGTAACGGCGCATTTGGGTTTCTTTCGGGGTTCGAAAAATCCATGGTGTTCAGGCGCCCAAACGGGCGGGTCTTGTGTTCAGGTGAGTTCCAGGTGTCGATTGGGAAGTATACGTATGCGTCGTGGCGGATCGTAGGATGTTCGTTTGCGAGTGTAGGTTGTATCGAGGGTGTAACCGAGTCGAACTTCTAAATCCACCTTCGACTCATAAACATCAACGGTCACGAGGCGGCCTCTCCTAGGTTGATAGTATTCCAGTGGCGACGACACGAAGTGAGTCAGGTGTGCAAGACGTATGCAGAGTGGAAAGGTTGCCTACAAGGCTGCGCTACGGGCCAAATTCTATATGTCGTATGAAACAAATGACGCGCCAGACAAGGCGGAATCTCGAAATACCACCAAACCCTAGAAGCCGGGACCAAGCGTCCTATAAGTCTTGTGCCACACCCCACACATACTACAGTACTATGTGCTGTACGGCGTCAATGCGTACATGAAGATACTCGAAGCGTATGGGTTTCGGGGGCCATCTTACGCGCCTGCTTACCTTGTGTGGCTAGGTCAGGCCCACCTTTGTACAGAATAAGGCTACGCGCTGCGCCACTACGGATATGCGGCGCAGGCGGTCTGGATATAGCACAAACAATGTACATTCGAACATTTTGACCCTAGGTTTCGATAACAGCATCGGCGGCAAGGAGTAGAATCAACTAGCGCAATAGATATCATGTGGCGGGTGCAGCGGGAAAAGTAGGCAGCCAAGGCTGTAATGTGTCAGAAGCGTCAACCAATCACTGGCGCTGCGTGATGGGGCTGATCGGCGTAGCTGTGACTTTCAAAGGTCAGCTGCCAGGCGGGGGTGATGTAAGCTCTGCATGAACGAAAGCCGCGCTGAGGCTCCGCAGTAACGACATGTGCGCCCCTCGATCGCTCTGAGACGTCGATGAATGTGTTGGAAATGCAAACCAGGGCTGAAAGGCCCTGTGCTCTATTAGATTACATGTGTGTACCAATATGCTGAATGCAAGCGACCGTGTAAAGCAGATCGGTTACCCAAATGCATCGAATTGCGCCCAAATATTCAAACCCTGGGTATTATAATCAAATGCCTGGTGACGCCGTGGATGCCTTCATGTTCAAGTCGTTAAAATCGTTATTCGTAGTCGTTAAAGTCGCTCAGCAGAGAATAGTCCGCCGGTCATTAACTACGCAAGTTAGCGGACGAAGTAGGCAGTAGTGCGCGACGATGACTTACGGATAGTTTGTTGCGGTATTGTTCCCAATGTTGGTCGTATTCCTTTTGCAACATTGCATCTGACTCCTTGGCTCGAAGAGTGCGCAGAGTCTCCATGCGAGGGCTGTCCTTTCTCCTCAACTTTTGTCTAGGGACATAGATCGGCGAAGGCGAAGGCTTGATAGTCCAATGAGAAGGCGCGAAATAACTTAGCGAGCGTGCGTGTGTTGTTGGCGAACCAGGTGGTGACGTGGCGGGTGTTGAGGGGCTCGATGCACAGAAAGAGGCCGAGTCGGAGAAGACAGATGGCGATGGCGACGAAGCTACTGAGCTGTTGCTGTTGGAGATGACAGGTGACAGGACTATCGGCGATACGGGGTCCGCAGGAGTGAAGCGGGTAGGACCGGGTCGTCGCACACTGCCCTTGCCAGAAAGGGGCGATGGTCTTTTGATGTCGACAACACGAACACCTGGGTACCTTTGTGGAGTTGCAAAGGGCGCCTTGCTGGAGTTGCTTTTGGGGTTGGGAGTGGTCTTGGTGTTGGGATCCTTTCGTGCCAGCGCTGGTGACGTGGGTTCCTTGGGGGAGGTGTGGGTCGGTGCGGAGGGTGGCGCGTCCTCTCTGCGCGAGAGCGGTGATGGCTTTCTTTCGGCGGCGACAGCACGGCGCACTTTGGATGGGAGCGTGTTCCTCCTGCCGAACAACGGTGTCGGACTCTTGACAATGTCGTCGGGGTTGAATTGGAAGGGTTCGGATGGGCGAGACGGTAGCGATGGCCGTGTTGATTTCGAGGGCAACGAGTTGCTTCTGTTGAAGAGCGGCTTGGGGGACAGTTCAGTCTGTCCTCCAAAGTGGAACATGGCCGGTCCTTTCATCTCCATCTCGGACTTGTGTGCTGGCGTTGTGGGGAGCGATTTGTTGTACTGTTTGACGACGCGGTTTGGATGGCGTCGCGGAACGGGGGGTGTTTCGCATAGCGTTAATGTCTCTTCAAACAAGACGTCGAGGTCGTCTTCTGCCATCTTCCTTTTCATAATAAACGCGACGGCAGTGCGAAGCGAAGAGGGATATGTAGGTGGGTGGGCGTACTCAAGCGAGACGGGTGTCTAATCCTGACACGAAGCTGAGGGTTCCATGGGAATATTAAGCAGGAAAGGTGGGATCACCCGCCTCCTCTACTAAATCTATTAGTCGGTCAAGTCCTTGTTTACAGGCGGAACAGGCGAGCCAGCGCTAGACGTCATTGGACAAGACGCTGGCGCTGCAAGTTGCGGTAAGTCTGGCTGGACGCGATCGAAGGTTTGCCAGCGTGGCTAGGACCCATAACCCTGCATCCTCATTTTAAATGCCCCACGGGACGGGCGATCACGCGCAAGTCCCAACAGCTTTCCTCAGGTGAGGACATGCAAGTAATTCGAGATGCGCACGAGAGTGGGTTGGCGCTGATGGGCTGATGGAGCTGTGCAGTTGAGGAGGGTGAGCATTGAAATCTGTCGTACCTGACGAAACTCGTCATCGATCCAAGGCCGGCAAGTCGGGCGCTAGGAACCAGGCCCGGCAACGCCTTCCCTAGGAGTGTACCTTGGGATCGAGATTCTTGGTAGTCAACCGTCTTCAACGTCAGGGGTCATGTCATACCACATGCATCGCTCGCCATGAGGGATGCAGGATGCAATGACGAACGGCAGCGAGGTGCAAGTTGAGCCCAGTTGAGGTCATCTCTATGAGCTACTTCCGGGTCTGACGGAGCAGCAGAGCATGTTACGTAGTGTCACCACACTGTGCTTGAAGTGCAAGCTGACAGGTCTCGACCACCATGCAAGCTTCAGCATAGCAAGGGTATGATGGTGCTGTGGTCTCAGCTCCACAGTGATGCTGTTCGCCCAGCCAAAGACGGTGTGTAAACTGCTATCCTCATCCATGCGAAGACTGCGTCTCGAAACTATACTATTCTGCCACCCTACGTACCGCCACATTACAATCCTTTATTCTAATAAAAACATCAACGTAGTACAAAGTAGCATGCCCTTCGCCTTCTAGATGCATCATGGAATGCAAACGCTTGGTATCATCAGTGAATATGCACATAAGAAAAAGCACCATCTGCACGTGGTCTGTCTCAGGTCCATCAGTCGACTTCACCAGAGAAGGTCTGTCGACGTAGCGCCGGAGTTCCCATGTTGTTGAGCGGGATGCCAAAGTCGTCTTCTTCAGCCCAGTCAGCTTCGTCATCTGACTCCCAGGCGCATGGGATCTTTTCTGCCCGACGCACACGGTACGTGTTGAAGCCAAAGCCATTCGAGATGCTCGTAGCGATGCGAAGCATGACGGAAACCAAGTGTGCAGGTGGCCCGAGAACAAGCTCACATGTCTTGCGTACTAGGGCATTTGTGAAGTCCTTGCGAGGGCTGTGCTTTGGTGGACAGAAGAGGTTTTGGGCTGGCGGCATAGGAGAAAAGGCGCGCCTCTGCGAAGCCCCTGTAAGCTTCCTCATGCGGATTGCATCAGGCGGCGTGGGAATATCTATGCTCGCACGCCCAAGACTGTCATCATCGGAATCGCTTACAAGCGGTGGTGTAGATGGCGCAGAAGAAGGCCGTACATCGATCGAGGGAGTTGTGGAGGAATAGTATGGGACTGTAGGCGTCACAGGTGCGGATGGATCGGTACGTTCGGTGGACGGACCACGAACGGTAACCTCTGATACCTGGCGTCGATGTGTTGAACGTCCCCTCGGCTCGTCTTCTTGCTTAGAGAAGGTGTTCGCCCATGGGTTTATGGCATCATCATCATCCGCATCGAGGAACTTTGGAGAAGGTGTGGCAGTATTCAGAGAGTAGAACGAGTCTACACTCGAGGTCAGACTGGGGGCATCTGAGATTTGACGTTCAAGGATGGGTTTATCGGCTTCGCTAGACTGCTTCGCCGGAGGAGAGAGAGGAGACTCGACTATGCGCTCCATGGCAGATACGGATTCCCTCCTGGGCATTTTGATGGGCGCAGTTGCCGAGCGCAGCCCTTGAAACATGCTGACCCGTTCTCCCACTGACAGGCGGCGCGGGGGCGCTTTTGACGCGAGGGGTCTGGGTGTAGTTGTCGCTAAAGGGACCTCAGGGGCCGCGGATACTATTTCGCTACTGTCGGTACAGACGCTCGACCGGTCGTCCTCGTCGTATGAAGAGGTAGTACCAGTCTCTGAGCGATCAGTGCCAGACGTAGAAGGCCTTGAGCCATGCTGTTGTGGTACCCAGGTCTTATCCATGACCCATTTCTTTGCCTGCCCCGAAGGCTTCCTCTTGATCGTCTTGCGTGGAGGGCTCTTTGGACGCTCAAGCTCTGCGACGACCTCAAATCCTCGCGCGAACGGGCACTGTGTCCTCTCGTACTGCATCACCTGCGCCAATACTGACTTGAAGTGCGTGATGTTGACCTTGTCCTCGTCAGTCTCAAAGGGGAGCTCGATGCGATAGTAAGAGTCCTGCCGTATGCGTAGCACAAAGACGGACTGATTGTCGACAAGCCATATCTGGGATCGGGGGAAGATTGTGTGCAGGAGGTTGCCGCTGTTGAGGAAGGAGACGTTGGAGGCTGTCACGCGATAGATGCGAAGAGCCCCTGTGATACGTTAGACAGCCCTCAGCCAGGATGACAGGTGGGATGACATACCGACTGCGAGTGTGCGCTCTGTAGGCGTCTTCCATGGTATCGGATGCGACGTGTCACCTGAACGGGAGGGCGAAAGCCGGCGAGCGGGTCCGGCTGTGGTAAAGGAGAAGATCTTGGAGTTGGAGCACACGAACAGCGTCTCTATGCCGTCAGTCGTGTTCCTCGACGCGGGCACCGACTCAGTCCTCCGTGTCGCGCGCGCGGGGAGCGTGAAGCTGCGCCTGGAGTTGCTGGGGTTGAGAGCGGACGGCGCGTGCTCAGGATGCGCATGCTGGGATGAAGCCGGCATCGTCATAGTGAGCGTGCTATATGGACATTGCTATCCCAGTGAGGTCAGGGTAAAGGCTCCCTAGAGAAGACAGCGGCCGGCGCTTGCAGAGGGGTGTATTACAATAGTTACTTTTGAGTTGGGTGGGTAATCGAAGGCTGAAGCCGAACCAAGTCCCTTGCTTCGGAATGGGATACGCGCTTGGGCCACAGCGACGAATTCAGTTTCAAGCTGATCAGCGGATTGTCTGAACCCCGCCCGCGTCCAGATGCCTTCATGCAGCCTACAGACTATGTGATGCTAGGCGCTGGTAGAAGTAGCACTGTCGTCGTGGCAGGCGCTACCTTCCAACGACGCGTTCTTTGTTTGCGACACGCGCAGCTGGATGGGTCCGTGGACTGCTAGCACGACGTCATTGCTCCGCCAGTTCGCAGGCGTTCGCACAAGTCGTCGACGAGGAGTCAAGCTCTAGCTTTGCTGGCCTGATTGCAACACCAAGCTGCCTGGTAGTCCCCTCACCTTGCAAACATGGACAAAATCGACCTGTCCCAGTTCGATGTATCCAACTTCGACCCTAATGCCATCCTGCGGGGAGCCCAGCTGACTTTGGTCGGTGGTAAGGCCTGCCCATCACGGTATCGTCATGACAGCTCCATTCTAACATGCCCCGACAGTCAATCGGGCTCTCCAGAACCCGGGTCTCTTCACCTCGGACCACTACCGCCAAGCTGCTATTGCTGTAGCTGCAGGCATCGCTATCCGTGTCATCGTCGCCATACCCGTACGCTCCGTCTCCTCCACCAAGCAAGCAAACATGGCCACTGACATGCCCAGATCCAAGGTGTAAGAGTGCTACTATGGATACTCTCCCTCTTCGTCAACATGGACCATACCCACATGGACGAAAGCGTCGTGAATGGCCTCCACTTCCTTGAGCACACCGTACTCCAGGTACCCTTCTTCCTCATGACGATGATGCGCTACGTCACTCCTACTTTGGATCGAATGTAAGCATACCTGTTGCTCATCTACAGCGCTGGCTGACAGAAACCTTTAGGTTCATGGACTCCCTGCGTTGGGTGGACGAGACCTACGTGCAGAAGCACAAGACCGAAGACCCCCACAATCTGCGCGCCATGTACTATCCAAACCTTGAGAAATACCCCGAGCACGCACCCAGAGTCGACAAAGAGAAGAAGCCAATCAAACAGGCTGTCATGATATACGCAACGAAACAGGGGAGGAAGGCTGCCATTTCCTTGGGAGTATTGGCATTGTCGTACGTGCCATACGTGGGACGTTTTGTGCTACCCGCCGCCAGTTTCTATACATTCAAAAAGTCGGTGGGAACGCAGCCAGCAGCGGCCATCTTTGCAGGTTCACTGCTCTTTCCCCGCAGATATCTGGTCAGCTTTCTGCAGGCCTACTTCTCGTCACGAACGCTTATGCGTGAGCTGGTATGTACTTTGACAGCAGATCTTGGAGTCTCACTTCTAACCTCAGACAGCTTGAACCTTACTTCACACGCGTTCGATACAACAAAGAGCAGAAGAAACTATGGTTCAAAGATCGAGCTGGTGTGCTCTTCGGTTTTGGCCTGGGCTTCTACGTCTTCGTCAAGATACCCCTCGTAGGCGTCCTCATCTACGGCCTCGCTGAAGCGTCGACGGCATACCTCATCACCAAGATCACAGAGCCGCCGCTGCCACCGACCGAAGCTGAGAAGTTCAAGGAAGAGTCATTGCGCTGGAAGAACAAACACGAGTTCCTCAATCTGCCATGGCAGCACATGGACGAGTACAATCTCGCAATGCACAAACCCCAGTTCCAATCCGAAGTACGGCAAACACCACGAAAGACGTTTAGCTAGGTTGCGATGACGTTGAAAACCTCAACGACTAGCTCCACGCAAGCGGGGACCTCCCGTTCAACATGACGAAGACACGTCCTCGCACCTTGGAAATAGTTCGCAGCTAGTATGTGCGCCGTCGGCAATCAGGTGTATCTAGCTGTCACGCTATCTGGCCGCTGTACGATGATGGTACTATTATGATTATACCCCGCAGTGGGGTCAACGCGTCCCGTTGTGGTAGGTAGCTTACAGCTCCGTCCGATGATACGTAACGTAACAGCCGCGTATCGTAGAGCTTATCACCCACCTTGTAGTAATAGTTGGTGGATATGGCATTCGGCCTTGTCTTCGGCACGTATCCTTATATCCGAGATAACAATTGACAGGCTGAGGTTACTCTTTCCCCGCGTCTGTTGTCTTCATATGCGTGACGTTCCCCCCTCGCGCGACTAGACGCGTTTCTTACTGTTCTCTGATCTACACAGCATACCATCTCCTCCGTTCTTTTCACTTTATAGTTCAGTGTACCCCAAATCCTCGATATGGGTAAAGAAGGTCTCCGCTATGCAGCGAAAGTGTCACTAGACAAGCCAGCATCAGAGCAAGAGTGCCTGCACGTATGTCGAATCATTCTGCAGTTTACAAAGCTACTCTAATACATGTCTTTTTTTTTTCTTTAGAACCGCTGGCACCCCGAAAACCCCTCGTACGCCACTATCAAACCCGGCGAAGCCGTCAAGATCGAGTGTGTAGACTGGACTGGTGGTCAAATCGGCAACAATGACTCTGCAGACGATGTGCGGGATGTCGACCTTACTAAGATCCACTATCTAACCGGACCTTTCGACATTGAAAACGCAGAGCCGGGTGATGTCCTCGTTGTTGACATTCAAGATGTACAGCCGTTAGAGGACCAGCCCTGGGGGTTTACAGGTGTGTTTGCAAAGGACAATGGCGGTGGATTCTTGGATGAACTCTATCCTGAGGCGTAAGTGTTGTTGGTTTCATTTTTGGGGTAGGGCAAAGATAATGAGAGAGGTGCTGATCAAAGAGGTGGACTAATATGTTGGCAGGGCAAAGGCCATCTGGGACTTTGAAGGCATCTTCTGTAGCTCTCGCCATATTCCTGGTGTGAGATTTGCAGGCCTCATTCACCCTGGTAGTAAGTTATCCTTGTTCACACACACACGCACAAAATGCCGAATACAGCGCTGACCTTATCCTTCTCTCGTTTTCCAGTTCTAGGCTGCGCGCCCTCTGCTGAAGTTCTGGAGACTTGGAACACTCGCGAAGCCGAACTCATCTCTACACACACCCATCTGAACCGCGACGTGGCTAAACCGCCTGAGCCTCAGAACGCCCACGCAGGTTCTGCAACAGGCTCTGTAAAAGAGAAGATTGCCAAAGAAGGCGCGCGCACTATTCCAGGTCGTCCCGAACACGGGGGTAACTGTGATATCAAGAACTTGTCAAGGGGATCTAAAGTTTTCTTACCGGTGCATGTCAAGGGTGCAAAGTTTAGTGTGGGAGATTTACATTTCAGTCAGGTAAGTCTTCACACCGCATTTCAAGAAAAGTCTGTATGTGGCCTTGAAACTGACATTCATCTTTCCACCCTGCTAGGGCGACGGCGAGATATCCTTCTGCGGCGCAATCGAGATGGCAGGCGTCATAACAATCAAGTTCAGCGTCATGAAAGGCGGCATGAAGCAACTCGATATGAAGAGTCCAATCTACATCCCAGGCCCCGTCGAACCGCAGTTTGGTCCTGGAAGGTATATTTACTTCGAGGGCTTCAGTGTGGATGAACATGGCAAACAGCACTATCTCGATGCGACGGTTGCGTATCGACAGACTTGTCTGAGGGTAATTGAGTATTTGAGACGGTTCGGTGAGTTTGCAATTCTTCTTTCTGCGTTTTTTTGCACGTACCCTCATCCCATGTTCCGCCGCGGAACTTCCGCGCTCGTCTCTGCCAATTCTAGATTCCTTGGCCTTTTGGGGGTTTTTTTGGGGGGGGGTTTGAGGACTATATTGGCGAAGGGGCGCTGGCCCGAGGTTTCATCAAGTTTCTTTTTTTTTCTCAGATATCTTTTACTAACAATATCACAGGGTACAGCGACTACCAGATCTATCTCTTGCTCTCTTGCGCCCCGGTTCAAGGTCACGTAGCTGGTATAGTCGATATCCCCAATGCGTGTACGACTATAGGTTTGCCGATGGACATCTTCGACTTTGACATCAGTCCGCATGTTCCCGCTGAGAAGCGCGATCTCGGGTCTTGCGCATTCGCTGGCAAGAAATAGACCGTGGTCTGTGTGTGTGTAGAACGTCTACAGGGATTGTGGGGATTAGGTCGGAGGATGGCGCACTGTGGCTGAAGCTTAGCGGTTGTTGTGCTATTTCAATCAGTATCTCCTAGTAGGCAATCAACGTCAATTTACCTTTTCCAAGGCGTTCAAAAGGCTTGTAGAACTAATATCTCTATATAAGAAGTAGCGTTGGTCGCGCTTCGTGAGTCTAGTCAAACATTCTAACAGACTCATTGTCTTTCTTCTTTAGCCAAGGCACAGAGAGATGAAACCGAGAAACTTTACAAGAAGCTAGAATGGCCTGATGATTTGGAGGCACAATTAGTGGTTGCAACGTGATTGGTGTATTGTATGATAAAGTCCATGATACCATAGTCAACCAGTAATAGTAGTTCGAGACGTATAAAGTTGATGAGCGATTTCGTACATGTAGATGTATTGTATTGGTTCTGTCGTTTAGGTTGATGACCTCCGCTATCGTTTTAGGCGATCGTGGTCCATTCTGTAAATTCTAGATGCACATTTGTTCGTCTCTTATGCAGCCTGTCAAGAACTCTTTACAGGACCTTGTCTGCTGCAGATACATTCAAGCCTGTGTTATCAGACTCGACGTGTGCTGCTTTGACGGTACCGTTGTCAATCACAAGAGCATATCGCTTCGAACGATCACCTCCGAAGATGGAGGCGCCATCGAAAGAGAGATCAAGCGCCTTTGTAAAGCCAAGGCTGGGGTCTCCCAAAAAGCGAATCTATCAACGTCAACACCACAATGTCCAAAGGGCGAACAAGGTAACACTTACGCCGCTGGAGCCTGAAGGATCGAGCATCTTGCCCCATGCTTTCATGCTACATCCGATCAGTTGAGAATATGGCGGATTTCAAGAAGCATCTGCTTACACAAAAGGATCGTTTACTGAAACAACAAACACCTTGCCGGCATCCTTCAACTTAGGAGAATTGATATAGCCGGGGATATGGTTCTCGGAGCATGAAGGCGAGAAAGCTGCAGGAACACCTTTGGCAGTTGTCAGACGCAGCTTTGTCAACGAGACCCGCCAGACGTTAATTACCGATAATGACACCTTTGCCGGTCAACTCCTTTGCTAGGTTGACCTTGTTACCCGGAGAACCCTCGACGAGTTCAACGTCAGGCAGCTTGTCTCCAACATTGACGAATGCAGGCGCAGAGGCGTGAAATAGACGCCGACTGGCGACGGAACGCACTAGGGGCAGGCGACGGGCGGTAGCGAACATGGTGTATGCAGGAGAAAGTGTGTATGTCGGGCGTGGTGTGGGTGTAGAGCACGTGTGCACTTGACGGTGACGAGCTTCTAAGGTGGTGGGGGTACGACGTGTTTTGCCGGTGTCACTGCTCTCGGAAGACGGCAAGCGCACCCATCAGCTCACTTCCCTCTACGCAGCACGTGTGCATCTGCCTCATCCAAAAGTATGCTACATGGGCGCCTCCGCGGTCGCAGTACCTCAGTAATATCGACAAATGTGCATACTGATACTCGTGTCCATAATTAGCTGTCGTATGTACAGACTAGTCTTACCTGCACCAGCAAATTGCGGATAATGATGTTAACCTATCGACCCACACCAGCTTTAGCGTAAGCTATTCGGTGCTATGCCGATCGTGCCTCAAGCCGGTGATGTTTCGTCAACGGCGTAATCAGTGGAGACATGGGCCAGAAGGACCATGGGCGAAAGAATGATCAAAACTGTGCTATACGCTGGAAAAAGCAGTGTAATATCGCACCACCGTCGAGAGGGAGAGCGCGTGTGTGCGGTGCAGACCTCACCCACGACTCAGGCGTCTTCACCCCCGTGTCCCGTGTCCTGTCATTCCCCCCCTGCTTCGTCTCCCTCGGCACGACGCCCGCTAGCGCATTGCCAACTGCATTCCTCTCAAGCCCAAGGTTAACCTGCTTTAGGCCCGTTTAGCTCCCAAGTGCCCGCGCAGAAGCCACGAGCCAATGTGCCCATGTTCTCCCTGTCTCTTACACTTGAAGGTCCAGATCTCGCCCATCGCACTCCGTCGTCAGCCTGCAAGAAGGCGCGCCCGTTTTGGGAAATTTCGTCATCGCTCGTCCAACACCGATCGCCCGCGGCTAAGCAAAACTTTAAGCGCATAGCATACAACGCGCCGCCGGAACCTCGCGCGCCGTCTTCCGTAGCTTCGATCGCAGTCGCTTCCAGGTACTGAAGACTGTGACGGGGAATTTGCTATCGCATTTCGGCATCGACGAGACTCATCCGGTGCCGTCGCGCATCAACACGGGTTACCAACGACGGCTTCTTCGCCTACGACAGTCGTCAATTCACCTGCATCATGGATCCCAATCAAGCCGGTGGGGGAGGGTCCAACAACTCCAGCGACTTTGTGCGCAAGCTGTACAAGTAGGTGGACGCGCCCATGCGCGACGTGACGGCGTGCTAAAACATGGTTTAGGATGTTGGAAAACCCGAGCGACGAGAGTGTTGTGCGATGGGGAAATGATGGCGACAGCTTCGTTGTCCTAGAAGTATGCGCCTCGTATACCTATCAATCGATTGCATCTGCTAACAAACGGACAGAACGAGAAGTTCACAAAACACATACTTCCCAAGCATTTCAAACATAGCAACTTTGCTAGTTTCGTCCGCCAGCTGAACAAATACGATTTCCACAAAGTCCGTCATAACAACGAAGAGAATGGGCAGTCGCCCTATGGGCCAGGAGTATGTGGCATTCCTGCATGTCTTCGTGACTATGTTAGCTAACAAGCCAATAGGCCTGGGAGTTCAAGCACCCTGATTTCAAGATGAACAACAAAGATGCGCTCGACAACATCCGTCGAAAGGCTCCTGCGCCGCGAAAACCAAACCAAGCCGCCGCCGAAGAGTTCGCACCCTCACAACAGATGGATATGGTTAGCGGTCAGTTGATGGCCACACAAGCTCAGCTGCATGCGCTGGAGAGCCGCTATAGTGAACTGAGCATCCATCATTCCATGCTTCTGCAGGAGGTCATTGGGCTACAAAAAACGGTCGTCAACCACGAGCATGTTATGCAGCAGATCATGACTTTCCTACATGGTGTCGACGCGACACAGAGGAGGAACAGCAAACTCATCTTCCCCAACGGCGCCGACTCGCAGAACGGCAGTATGGAGCCTCCCTCCAACACCGATGACGACAACCCTGCTTCGCCCTTACAGCACGCTTCTAAGCTTCTCAGTGAGACGAACGCGGACGCCATGCTGAACCCCCGGAATTTGGAGCAAATGAACGAGATCACCATGCGCATGAACGGGACATTAACAACGCCACCGCCCGACTTCGCGCGAGCAGCAGCACGACCGACGAGCCGCGGCCCACCATCTGCAACCTCCACCAACTCAATGCGCCTAGAAAACCTCGACAACCTTGTTTATCCCGTCGGTTCCAACAACGGCATCGACCCCATGTACAGCGAGCATATCAACAACATCCCGTATGCCGCTCCGCCGAAAGCGGCCGAGGTCAGCGAGCCCAGACTTCCAGAACCGAGAAAGAAGAATACCATCCCAGACCCAGGGTGGATCAGACCTCCCCAGATCTTGCTGGTCGAAGACGATCCCACTTGTCGTCGAATCGGAAGCAAATTCTTGTACGCTTTCCATTGCTCCATTGACAGTGCTGTAAGTCATCTTCCCGTGCTATCCAGACTCCATACTGACTGAAATAAGCTCGACGGTTTGGAGGCGGTCAACAAAATGAACGCTGGATCCAAGTATGATTTGGTTTTGATGGATATCATCATGCCTAACCTCGACGGTGTGTCAGCCTGCCATCTGATTCGACAATTCGATACTACTCCTATCGTTGCCATGACTTCCAACATCCGAAGCGACGACATCTCAATGTATTTCCAACATGGTAAGACCGGCTCATCTGTGTGTCTAACAAGCGCTAACCTCCTCAGGCATGAACGACGTTCTCCCTAAGCCATTCACCAAAGAGGGTCTATTGCATATGCTAGAAAAACACCTTGTGCACCTCAAAAAGCCAATAGCTCAAGCTGACGGAACTATGGTTGCACCTCAACCTGTGCAAATCGCACGTCAGTTGGTTCTCAAGGAAGAGGACTCTCCGGCCAAGTCCCCCCAAACTGTCAGTCAGTGGAACTCACCAAACCAAATGCCGGGCGTTTCTCCAGTTGGTACCACAGTTCCGGATGATTTCGCACAGGCAATGCGCGGCCAGCCAGTGCAGCACCCAACTCCCTACGGCGTGAATCCCATGCATGGGAACATGGGATATAGCACCTCGCCACACATGCAAATGCAACCACAGCAACAAGCACAATTACCGCCAGGTCACCGCCGTCAAGTCTCGGAGATATCTGGAGGCGATGATCTGAATAACCCAGCCAAACGTCAACAAATGTACCCACCTCAGATGCAGCAGCAGATGGGAGGAATGCAACCGCGCCCACGTTGATATGTCGGGTAGCGAGGCGGTGAAGAGGGAATTTTCATGTTAATAATTCGAGAAGAAGGAGTACAGCCACTGGCTTCCTGTGGACAGGCATGGAGCACGTAATCGCGTTGCTGGACAGAGATGTTTCGCCATGTTGGAGCCGATAGTCGTGGTCGGCCCTTGTATCTACGGGAGAGATAAAGTGCAAGGATCGGACAGCTCGGGAAGCTGTCTATGAGGGTATCCAGGACCTTTGGGGTCTCCGGCGTTCCAAGGTCATCTATTGTGCCAGGTCCGGGTTGGACATTTGCTAGAAAATACCCTACATGTTAGATAAACAATTGATCAACTCTTTTCTCAGACACGAGAATCCCAGTGCTCAGCAGTCCTCCCATGTGAAAGTGTCGTCGCAATAAGCATTCCCGAGTAAATGTCCTCCCTGGTGGTCCAGACCTTGATAGCCAGCCCAAAAGGCCGCGCACGAGCATGTTCGAGAATCATGCGCCCTGTTGCAGCGGCTTACCCGCAGAGCCACCCCGCTAAAGGATCTGAGACGTGACGGGACCCGAAGATCTGGGTTTGCGTGGTGGTCCCTGGTTCGGGGGGGCTTGTGACTCAGCGGTGGTTGTAAGTTCGTGGAAGCTTTTTTGGGAGTCGTAGCCCAAACCCCCACCACGACTTGTACGAATCTAGAATTCCAACCGCGCCCCTCCACCTTTTGCGCAACACACTACCAGAGACCAAACATGCCCCCAAAGGGCAACAAAGGCCAGAACAAGGGCAAGTCGGGCGAGGAGGAGCGCGACGAGCCGCTGCAGGCTGTGGTAGGTTGCGCAATGTACTTGGCCACCGACCGTGCTAACGTTGTAGATACTCGCGGACCCCTTCGAGACACGCTTCAATCCCTTCACACTCGAGCACCCAAGAGTACGCATGCCCCCAGAGATTGCCAGCTGCACGCTGACACTTGCTAGTGTCTCCTACCCCTCGCGAATACCCCGCTCATCGAATACACGTTCGAGTTTCTCGCCAATGCCGGCGTCGAGGAAGTCTTTGTATACTGCGGCGCACACAGAGAGCAGGTTGAAGAGTACATAAAAGCCTCAAGATGGTCTTCCAAGTCTTCGCCCTTCTCGCGACTGGAGCTCATCCAGTCGACGTCACACTCGATCGGTGACGCGATGCGAGACCTGGACAGCCGGGGTCTGCTCGTGGGAGACTTCCTCCTGGTGTACGGCGATGTAGTCAGCAATCTGCCCTTGGAGTCTGCGCTTGCAGCGCACAGAGCGAGACGGGCCAAGGACAAGAACGCGATCATGACCATGGTGCTGCGCGAGGCAGGCGCGACTCATCGGACAAAGGCCCAGGGAACAAGTCCGGTATTTGTGATTGACCCGCAGAAAGACAGATGCTTGCACTTTGAACAAATGCCCAACCGCGACCAGACGCACTACCTCTCCATCGACCCCGAGCTGCTTTCCACCCACCAGGAGATCGAAGTACGCCAGGATCTGATCGACTGCGGCATCGACATCTGCACACCCGACGTACTCGCGCTATGGAGCGACAACTTCGATTTCCAAGCGCCTCGCAAGGGCTTCCTACACAGCGTACTCAAGGATTACGAGCTCAACGGCAAGACCTTCCACACACACATCATCTCAGACCACTACGCGGCACGAGTACGAAACCTCCACGCATACGATTCGGTTAGCAAGGACATTGTGTCACGCTGGGCATACCCGTTGTGCCCGGACAGCAATCTTGTTCAGGGACAGTCATATCGGTTACAAAAGGGCAATACCTACAAGGAGGAGGGCGTCATACTTGCGCGCGACTGTATCATTGGACGAAAGACAGTCATCGGACGGGGTACCAGCATAGGCGAAAAGAGCATCATTACCAACAGTATTATCGGAAGGCATTGTCAAATTGGCCGAAATGTCAAAATCGACGGCGCATACATTTGGGACTATGCCAGCATAGCCGACGGCAGCACAGTCACCAAGGCAGTCATTGCGAACGAAGTGGCCATAGGTCGCAGGTGCACCATCGAAGCCGGTGCTCTGATATCGTATGGGGTCAGCATCAGCGAAGGCATGACAATACGAGGAGATCACAGAATCACAAGAGCAAAGCGGAGACGCGAACAAGGGGAGGAGATTGTCCGGGGCAACTCAGATCCTGCGATTGTTGGCGAGAAAGGGGACGGCTTCGAGTTCTATGACTCTGACGAAGATGACGAGGACGAGCTTGTTGATGGTCTCGCTACCAGAGGTCCCAGTAAGTCCAAGACCACCGACTCCAGTGTGTGTGTGTGCTAACATGATTAGTGTACAACTTCTCAAACGAATCGATATCCACAATCAACTCGGATTCGGAGGCAGACATGATGGGTATGGAACGCCATGACAGATCAGCGACCAGTAGTTTCTTGTCTGTGGGCTCGGCAGACAGTCAACATGCGGCAAACTTTGATCACGACGCTTCTGCCAGTATTTACGATTCGCTTGTCGAAGGCCACGAATCTGCAAACATCCAGCTGGAGCTGACGGCACTCCGTATGAGCACAAACGCCTCTGACCACCAAGTCAGACGTGCCGTCGTTTCCTCGTTCGTCAAGCGCGTCACCCAACTTACAAAGTCGGGCGAGGCAATCAAGAGCGCTGTTGCGCAGGTCTTTGGGCAACACAAGGAGCTCATTGACCGGTCCATCTTTGACAAGAACGCTGAAAGCAAGACGGATCAGATCGACTTTATGCTCCTGCTCCAGGCCGACTTGTGCAACAAGGAGAACGGCGATGCCATCTTGCTGAGTGCATCGACCAAACTGGTTGAACTAGACTCGATAGAAGAGGATGGCATGATTCAGTGGTGGGAAGACGAGAAGAGCACGGAGAATGCGGACATGGAGAAGGTCAGGCAGAAGACGAAGAGTTTGATTGACTTTTTGCAGATGGAAAGTGAGGACGAGAGCGAGGAAGAGAGTGATGAGGATTAGTGCGTGCTACAACGAAGTACTATGACAAGATGAGAGCTTCTGTTACATGCGTGTGGAAAAGCAAAATTAGCATGAGTTGAACAAAGTCTATGTCGTTGGCCGGTTTCATCTGGACATAGACCAGACTATTATAGAGGCGGCGATGTATGGCCGATTCTTGTCCGCAGCAGACAGTGGTGCTTACGGAGCTGGACAGCTGCCTCAAGGCAACTGCAGTTTTTTGCGCCAAGGGATTGAACTCTGCGCTTGACATTGTATACCCAAGTTCGTTAGGTGGTCTGCTAGGTGGGTGAGGCGGCAGACGGAAATGCGGAGAGCGCGGTCAAGTTCCGGGCGCGCCCCTGGGCTGTTGCCTCCCAAAGGCGCTAGGGCCACCCGATGAGTGCCCGCATAGGACCATCAATCGACTGCTGGACGCCAGACTCCCCAACTCTTGTGACTCCTTCCCTTCTGTTCAGCTGACCAATACCCTTGTTTTCTCCCACACCTGTACCGCCACTCTGCACGCGCGCCTCAGGCCTTATCGTCCGTTTGTACACACGCTTTCTTCCGCCGCAGCCTGTCCAGCTAGCGTTCCGTCATCAGGCGGGACATCTCCATCATCACGCCTCCAACTACCCTTCGCAAGCGGAAGGCCGACGAGGCAGACAACTACCTCAGCCCCGCAGAGGAACCACCCCATAAGAAGACAAACTCCCCTGTTGTTAGCCTGCCGGCCACGCCCGCAACCCACGCCGACAAAATGGACTCCGACGACGACTTCAACAGCTCCATGAGCGGCGACGACTTTGACGACCAGGACAGCGATCTGGGCCTGGAAGAGGGTGCGCATTCCCTTGAGCTCCAACTATAGTTGCATGCTAACGTGCAACAGACTCGGACTTTGACATGGAGCAAGATGACGTCGGCTTCGAGACGCAAGACAAGGACATCAAGCCCACCAAGCAGGCCTTCGAAGTAGACTTCAAAGTCTTTGACCCTGCCCAGATACAAGCACAGCAAGACAAGCAGATCGACGAGGTTGCGGCCATCCTTGGCCAACCACCAGAGGCCGCTGCCATCCTCCTCCGCCACCTGCGATGGAACAAGGAACGTTTGATCGACCAATACATGGAGAAGACGGATGAGGTCCTCGAGACAGCAGGCCTGGGCCAGGACTCCACCACCAACCCGCCCAAGGTCGAGCAGATACCAGGTTTTGTCTGCGACATCTGCTGCGACGATGACAAGGACATGCGGACGTTTGCCATGAAGTGCGGGCACAGGTTCTGCTTGGACTGCTACAGGCAATACCTCGGCACCAAGATTCAAGACGAGGGAGAGGCTGCCCGGATACGCTGCCCCGGAGAGGGCTGCACCCGGATAGTCGATTCGAAATCGCTAGACCTTCTCGTTACAGCAGATCTCCAAGACAGGTATGTCGATGCCGCTTCACCTTCCCAAAGCCTGCTAACAATCACAGATACCACACCCTCCTCACACGAACCTACGTCGACGATAAAGAAAACCTCAAGTGGTGCCCCGCGCCTGATTGCAAATACGCCGTGGAATGTCCGGTAAAGAGCAAGGATCTCACCAAGATCGTGCCCACGGTGCACTGCGAGTGCGGACATGACTTCTGCTTCGGATGCACGCTGAACAACCACCAACCCGCACCTTGCGCTCTAGTGAAGAAATGGGTCAAGAAGTGCGAGGACGACTCGGAGACAGCCAACTGGATATCGGCCAACACAAAGGAATGCCCAAACTGTAACTCCACCATCGAGAAGAATGGAGGGTGCAACCACATGACATGCAGGAAGTGTCGTAACGAGTTTTGCTGGATGTGCATGGGCAAGTGGTCGGAGCACGGCACGAGCTGGTACAATTGCAATCGTTTTGAGGAGAAGAGCGGATCGGAAGCCCGCGATGCGCAGGCCAAGTCCCGGCAATCGCTCGAACGATACCTTCATTACTACAACCGCTTTGCCAACCACGAACAATCGGCTAAGCTAGACAAAGATCTCTACCTCAAGACGGAAAAGAAGATGCAGCAATTGCAGAACTCGTCGGGCATGTCATGGATTGAGGTGCAGTTCCTGGATCAAGCTTCACATGCGCTTCAGCAGTGCCGGCAGGTACTCAAGTGGACCTACGCTTTTGCTTACTACCTTGCACGAAACAATCTCACGGAGATTTTCGAGGACAACCAAAAGGACCTGGAAATGGCCGTCGAGAACCTCAGCGAGATGTTCGAGAAGCCAATCGATCAGCTGAAGGACCTCAAGGTTGATATCCTTGACAAGACGTCATACTGCACCAAGAGAAGGATCATTGTCCTCAATGACACAGCGGAGAACCTGAAGCTCGGTTAGTCGTCTTTTAGCCCTCACTGGAATGCTGCTAACGTTGATAGGCACCTGGAAGTTTAATGTAGACTTGGTGTAGGACACCTACTTTAGTCAATTCGTCTCTCCTCATGACCCTCAAATCGCCACCCACAATGGCAGTGCGCGACCGCCCCCTCGCAGACGTTGTCGCCGGACCCCGATGCCTAATGGAGGAGTGGCTCGTCTGCACGCAGCCAACAGAAGGAGGTCACATCAATGATAACATTTGGGTTTGGCCCGCGCAATGAAAGACAAGAAAGTTTGGCAAAGAATATGACGTTTTCACGCTGTTTTATGTTGCATGGACGGTAACGCACTGGCGCTTTTTTTTTGGTGATAAGGGTATGGCATTTTTTGGCAATGGCGTTTTTTTTTATGTGTATCAATCTGTTGGCAATCAGCGGTTCAGCGGCTAGGTTTTTAGCGGAATCTGGGGTGTGTGTGGTTTATTATCTTCTCACTCATCCCACTCTCACACATATATTCGACGCAGACTTTGAGAAAGATATGAAATTAGACTTTCGATATTGATTGTTGACCTTGCGGAAAGATGTGTTGTGATGGCATATTTGGGAGGTAGGTATGTGGAAGGGGTGTTGGTTTGTGTAGGGGAAATTGAAGATAAAGTGAGGTTGCTGACTTGTGCTCTCTTCGTCGTGGGCCAACAGTACTTTTGATACTTTTAATCACTTATATCCTGGACGAGCACGTCTCATCGTCTCCCCCAGTACGCTCTACCCCGATAGTTCCTCCATCCTACGTCTCCATCCCACCAGCCCACCCCACACGGTGGCGGTTGGCGAATAGAATTAACACGTGGTCTCCTCTGCAATCCTGATGCTCCTCTTATGGGACTGACGGTGCGGTAGTCGTTTGTGTGGTACCCTGGTCTTGGTTCTTCGTGGCGATTGCGGGGAGGCGAGATGTCGCGCGAGTAGGCGTAGTAGTTTTCTTGCTCCCACTCTTCGGGCGTGAAGCGGTTGTACATTTTGTAATTATCTGTACCTCTGTCTGGATAGTGATTTGGTCGATGGTGTTGTTGTTGTTGTTAGTAGGCATTTAGTGTCTTTTTGGGAGCGAGCTTGAGGTAAGGTTTTTGTGGTGGGTGAGTAGAATGTCTTTGTTATACAATGTGGTATTGGTGGAGGATGGCTCCGGAGTTTTATAGTTGTGCTGATTGATGAATGGGTCTGAGGCGGTAACTTGAATGGGTGATCATGCGTTGGGGTATGTGTTGTCGAATTATAAAAGGGTCATGTGATGGCTCGCAACGATGGAATATTTTCTATCGCGTGATTAAAGATACTTTAAATAGATGTGTAGGGGTATGCAGTTACTTATCACCGTGGTAGAAAGATTGATTCAATGAGGCAAGAACTTCCATTAAACTATCTACTGTCTCTACAACAGTGACACATGCTCTAACATCACTCAAGAGTGACAAACCATATGCTAAAGAGCGATAATAGTTGAGATTAACGTGTGGTGACAGGCACTACGAGTCTTGTCTGGAGTTGACCGAGGTTGAAGATCTTGGCAGAGTAAGATGCCACCATTTAGACGGTAGGAGAGGCTGTCGGGCATGTAGTGACGGTGATGATGTTGTAAACGGTGGTTGGTACGCTTGTGGTGGTGGTCACGGTGGCAGAGGCAACGGTGAAAGCAGTCTGGGTGGCAGTACCAGAGATGGGTGTGGAGGTGCTGTTGTTGGTAAGTAATTGCATGATGAGAAGCAAAGGACAGTACTCACGTAGTGACGGTGGTCCTGACAGTTCCGGTCGCAGTCGCAACGACACGATCCTGAGTAAATGTGAAGTCAGGACCGTAGAAACCAGCACGCTTCGCGAGCTTCTGCTTGGGGGCGGCAACCGCAACGCGCTTGCGGTGAAGCTTCAGGGTAACACATCCAGAGAGCTTGCGACCTCCGATGATGTTTGAGTTGTTCCGAATGGCGCCAATGCTGCCCTTCATGTAGCAAGCACCTGGGTTACCTATGACCCAGGAAACATTAACGCACTCAGTGATGCTGTCGCAGGCCTGAAGACATTGCTCGTATGTGTCAGTGTAGACGAGGCCGTTCGGAACTGTACACTATATCAGCTGACGTGCATAGAAGAAGCAGATTTGAAATACTTACGGTCATTGCCGTAACGATCAGAGCTGCACTCCACGGCGTATTGTGCGCCACATGAAGTCACGAAAGTTGAACCGTTGGAACCAGGGCAAGTGACAGCACCTGTTGAGCTCGGAGCAGGGGCGCTTGACGAGGCACTGAAGACACTGGTAGGCGTGCATGCGCATTGGTACGCCGTGTTCGAGATAGTCGTGGTAACAGTAACGGTCGAGGGTCCAGGAGCAGGGGCAGCCGAAGTGACTGGTGCAGAACTTGTGGCGGTCATTGAAGAGGATAAGGTAATGCGAGAGGAGGTAGCAACAGACGATGTAGCAGCCGCAGAGGACGAAATGGATGCTGCCGAGGAAACGGGCGCTGCCGAAGAAGTGGATGCTGCTGAAGAAGTAGGTGCCGCCGAAGTTGAGATGGTGCTAACCAATCGTCCACCGATGATGTTGGAGTTGCTCCTCGCACCACTGACCGCGTTCTTCAGATAGCAAGGGCCACCCATGACGTAGCTGACAGCGACACAGCCCGAAGTGGAAGAACAGTCTGCCAAACAACCCTCGTAGGAGCCTGGGTAGGTTGGGCTCATTGGACCTGGGATATCTCCGCCCGTGTAGTCAGAACCGCACTCGACAAGGTACTGCTTACCATTGGCAGTGATAGTTGAGCTGTTGGAGCCAGGGCATGAAGCGCTAGCGGCAGGGCTGGCAGCAGAGCTGGAAGAGGAGCCAGCGGTAACTACCGTGGTACTGACGACTGTGGTAGTAGCGACAGCAGAGGAGGACGAGCTTGCGGACGATGTGGATGCCACTGGGGATGAAGACACAGGTACAGATGCAATCCTAGCACCCCAGACGTTGCTGTTAGAGTTGGGTGCACCAAGACCACTCTTCAAGTAACAAGGACCGTTGGGCAGATAAGAGACATCCTGGCAGCCTGAAGTGCTCGCACAAGCCTGAATACATTGCTCGAAGGTTGCAGGGTTATTTGGTGCAACGCCAATGTCATTGTTGAAGCGGTCGACGAAGCATTCGACGATGAAGTTTCCTTGAGGCGTGCTGAAGGTTGCGCCATTGCTTGCAGGGCAAGATAGAGTAGATGCAGAGGGTACTGGGCTGGCTGAAGTAGGAGAGGAGGAGCTAGACGCAGGGCTTGAAGTGGTTGAGCTGGAAGGAATGGGAGAGGAAGATGAAGTCGAAGTAGAGCTTGTTGTTGGGGTAGCTGTAGTCACGACGACGGTGGTAGTGGCGACCGAGGATGAGCTCGAAGATGAGATTGGAGAAGGCGAAACGGATGAGCTCGAAGATGTGCGGACAGATGAGCTCGATGGAACAGATGACGACGAAGGTGTCGAAGCAGAGCTTGGTGTCGGAGTAGCAGTAGTAACTACTACGACAGTGGTAGTCGCAACTGATGAAGAAGAAGATGATGATGATGGAACGGGAGGAGATGCGGGTGAGCTCGAAGAAGTGAGTACCGATGAGCTCGAAGGAGCAGGTGGCGGAGATAGCGAGGAGGTCGAAGACGAGCTCGGTGCTGGAGTAGCAGTGGTCACTACGGTGAGGGTTGTAGTAGCAACTGATGATGAAGAAGGCGAAGGCGAAGGCAAAGCAGACGAGCTTGATGATGGGATAGGAGACGGACTTGAAGACGAGCTCGGTGTTGGGGAGACGGTGGACACAACGACAACGGTCGTGGTAGCCACGGAAGATGACGAAGATGACACCGGAGCAGGGCTCGATGATGAGCTTGGCGATGGCGTAGTTGTTGAGACGACGACCACAGTAGTAGTAGAAACCCGAGTGGACGAAGACGGCACAACCGGCACAGCAGAGCTAGACGAGAAGGACGGCACGATTAGAGAAGAAGATGGGCTCGAAGAGCTCAATGGCGTGGATGTGCTTGAAGGCGTTGGGCACGAGGTAACAGTCTGCGTGAAAGGGCTGGTGACTGGGGTCGTAACAGTGGCCGTGCTCGTACGTGTAGTAGTGGCGGAAGCAGAAGTGACCGTAGTAGTCGCTGCAGGCTGAATGGGAGCAAAAGCAGTGTTGGTGGCAGTCTGGGTCACCACAACAGTGTTTGTAGCGACTGTGGTCGGTGCAGGCTGGTCGCCGAACGTGGCTATGAAAGGGCGAGGAGTGACCGCGAATGGGTTGAGGAATTGGTAGTTGTCGAGCGTGTAAGCACCAATGTTGACCCAGTTAAAGAGATCGGCATTTGCACAGAAGATACCTGTATAAGTTGCAGGCACTCCCTGCGTGACGTAAGAGCAGGTACGGGTGTATAGGAGAGCCGGGTTGGAGATGATGGGCGTGAAGGTAGGCCTAGTTCCTGAATAGCATGTAGAAGTACCCGACATGTAAGTCATCTGGATACCGAAGTCATCGCCAGATCCAAATGAATGCTTGGCTTGATCGTAGCTGAAGGTTGGGGTGGCCGTCCCAATGAGGGCCGGCAAGCCTGCGGCAACGAGCGAGCAGCCTGACATGTTGCTCGACTACTGGTGACTGAGTGAATTTAGAAGAATAGCGAGTGTATCAAACAATTGAGCTGCTCATTTCAAAGAGTAGGGAGACGCTCTCTTATAGATTCCGTCCTTGCCGGCTTTGCGGTTACTCGAGATGATGAGTTCACAAACCCGAGAGGGTTTAGAGGTTCCCTGAACCATAGACCTACATCACGGTGGCATCAATATGTCTTGTAAAAAAGGGTTCTTCTCCTGATTGGCATGGGGTATGTCAGGGAGGCGCCGGTAGGTGAGGCTCTGGGACGCATCCATTACTACCATTAGGAACACGTGTGTAGGAGAGCCCTGGTATCTCGCTGATCGGGATAAGTAGACGCAGATGCATTACCGCGAGTTGAGTCTTGTATGCTAGTCAGACTTTCAAATGCCCAGTTGCATGTGTGGTGATGATTTGGAACGTGAACGCAGAAGGATGACGTTTGGCAGCACAGACCGCCGCTAAACACTTCCTGGTAGCGCAGGGGTTACCAGCCTTCGACTTTCTAGGCCCTGATACATCGTTTCCGGGTTTCAGTCCTGTCATCAGTTTTTCGATTGAGCTACTAAAGCTGCCACTCTATGTTCTCATTTGGTTGGAGAGATGCCCTCCATTACTGAGAAGTCCAATTCGCCAAACGCACTCCAGCCTCAAAAGGTCTGCTACCGAAGAATGCATCACGAACGATCCCTGCGTCTCTGCAACCTTTCACGTAGGCTGGTAAACTAATAGAGAACTATAAGGCTACCCAGACGTAGCCTGCATACCTTGCCAATGCAGGTCCGGTATTGTCAGGGCCAGCTGCTCGGGACCACACCCGACAGAAACTCCGATGCACAAGGCTTTCGATAGCAACGGCTGCCGGCGGCGATATGAGATATGCGAGTTCTCCCGTGTCTCTGCGCGTTACCATGAACATCTGGAACTTATGTATTAAACGACTGATTGCGAAATATATACATAGCTCAGCAATTGCTGATCCGAGACTGTTCTTGCCGAGACCCAGAAAGCGAGCTACACGAATTGCGAGTTATGAGACGATCTACAACAGACCCTTGTGTCAGCAAGTCACTTACAACGTACGATGGTGGCGGGAATCGGAGATGATGTGATGATTGGGTGAAGGGTCACTTTCGACATTACCTTTCTCATCGTTTGGTGTTACATCACACTCCACACCTGCCTTGCTTACCACGCATCCCTCAGATTTCTCATGAGTGGTGGCCACTGACATGTCTCGCCAACCTCAATCGCGACGGAAACCGCCGCTATCGAGCTGTAAAAACCATCTCATCTGTCCCAGACCCATGTTACACCGGACCAGCCAATAAGCGTATTGAAAATGAGTTGATGCAAGCAGGCTCCCAATGACAGCCGTGCCTCCGCGGTCGAACCCCATGCCAGCAGCACTAGCATCCTCAAGGTTCATGGATACGCTATTGACGCCTTCCAAACATGCGTCCTCACGAAGGCCTATTTAGGAAGACAATGGTACGGATCGTCAGGAACGCCTTTGACCTGCCAGTTCCAACCGATACCGCAATGCTCCGGAACCATGAGCGAACACACGCGGAGTACTTTCCGCCGCGCCGGTCTCATAACATCCGAGCTCTCCCCACTCACAGTACCGCCGCAGCGTGCATTTCCGACGTAGGTTGGGGCGTCTGGCCCCTCATGTGGGGAAAGAATGGCGAATTCGAGGAACCAGAGAGGAAATGCGATGCAGAATGAGCTGTTGTAATAATCGGCTGAGGGATTGCCGAATGTATAACCTGGTGATCTAAGACACAGGTCGAGGATCAATGGGAAAATGCAGATGGCGACCCGACGCCAGTTTCGGAAGAAGAATGCGATAACACTGAGGAAGATCAGTGGTTGGTAGAATGCAGGAGTGGGCTGACGGTCAGAGAGCTGTGGCCATTGATACCACCCCAATGTGATGCTTTCCAATATGGAGGCTGAAGCGCTTTCGGAAGTTGTCATCATTGCACTTTGTAGGATGCAGTTTAGAAGTCAAGCGAAGCTCGCTGGACCCCCACGTCAGAATAGTCAAGCCATCAGCAAACGTTGAGCGGCATGAAATAGTCCGCAATGACGTAGAAGTCAACTCGTCAATCGTAGCGGTCGTGGTTGCAGTGGTCTATTCTCTACGTAAGATTACTTGAGATAATTCTCTTCGATCTCCCATCCCTTTCTCCTAACGCCCTCGTTCTCACATGCCTTCCATGTTTCTATGAGCGCCTTTAATCGGTCCCTAATGTCTTTGTCTACGGTAGTGTTTGCTTCCCACAATTGGTGGCCCACCCGCGTTACCAGCATTGCTGCAATCTCGACCCTCATCAACTCCGGTGCTGTCAACCAGCTCAGCCTCGTGTTATTGATGTCGCCTACATAAATTGCGGTCAAGACGCGATTATTGCTTATTTCTGATCTTTGGCCACCCGTAGAAAAATCAGTAGCGATGTAGGTAGACAGCTCATCAAGGTGCTTGTGGTAGATCGACAGGCTGCTCAGTTGATCAGCGATGGCGACCAGCTGGCCCGCAAAGACCTTGCATCTCTCCTCGCGGGATGCTTTCTCCTCATTGCCAGACGGCCATGGGTAATCAAGCAGACGAAGACGCCAAGAAAAGGTGTCGGGTAACACTGATGGGTTCCGAGCAGGATCGCGTCCCCATTCTCTCGTGCGCAAAGTGTCTACGTAGGACACCATCGCCTCCAAGATCGGCTTTCCGTATGGTTTCCACCATGTCCTTCCGAGGTAACCGCCATGCGTGATTCTATTACACAGCCTTGTGAATCTGGTGTATGTTGGCGTATCGTTCCAAAGTGCTGTAGTGAACAGTTTGAGAAATTGCTCTTGAATGCATCTTGGCGTAATGGCAGGGTCTTCGAAATCTTCCATAACATGCTCTAGAAGCCCAACAATATCCGTACCTTCGCTTTGAACATCGAGCGATCTTCCATACAATCGCATCCATGCTTCGACTTCGGGCAACGAGCGCAGTGCGGGGTCTGCAGCGAGACGTTCGTTCATCGCTTGCAAGGGCGCTGGCAGTGCGGCTCTGAAAGACATGTACGTCACATATTCTTCCAATACAGTACGCGGGATATACCTCAGTGTTGCGGTGCTCATAGTAAGCAAGGTTCTGTTCACCGACGGGTCTCGTGGAATGGATGGGAAGTTAAAGTCTCCAAGCAACATCTCTTCCAACCCGTATTTGCGAAGGAACAATGCTACCCACCTCGCCGTCTGATCTCTGAGGCTTTGCAGTATCGGCATCATGATGCGATCAACGAAAGGCTGAATCTCGGTTTTCGGGATCTTTCCACTACGGAGATAATTGACCAAAGCGACCAGGATTGGCGAATCTGAACTCGAATGTGCCGTGATGCCTGGTTGGAGCTCGGGAAGCGATAGAGTCTCCTCGCATCTTACCCAGCGCGCTTCATTTAGTGCCTCTCTTTCATCCAAGGCTCCAGCTAGCGGTATGAATGACTCCAGGATAGTGAACACTTCGCGAGATTGCTCTTGAGAGCCAGATTCGAGCAAGACTAGAAGACTTTTTATGACGTTGAGCCGGACGTCGACATGTGCATCCACGTTCGAGAGCTTTCGCAATACAGAAAGAGCATAATCTGTCCCAACAAGGTCCAAGTCTTGGAGAAGTTGAGCTAGCATCTTGCGCGTAGTAACTTTGATATGGGCCTTGTCACTCGATGCAACCTTTTGGTCGTCTGAACTCTTCTTGCTCTTATCCTTTGTTCGAAGCATATGAATGAGTTCATCGGTGAAAGCTTCGATGAGAGATTCCGCCTGCGTTGCTGGAAGCCGTCGGAGAAAACTAGGTTTGAGAAGTTTCCGATGCCACGAGCTCGACTCTGGTCTGTCTAAAATCGTTCGAATGATTGATTGCGTGGCCAAACTGGGTCTATCACTTTCACCCAGTAGCGCAACGAGCTCCATCGTAATCTCGTGAGGATTCTCGTTGGTTTCTTTTCCCGGATCTACATCGAACTTTTCGAGGGCCCTCTCGAGGTTTTGCGAGGATTGTGCCAACAATAGAGGAGGTATTGTGTCGAGATGACCCTCTAAATTCCTGGCAGCTGAGTATTGATTGAGCCCGTCCGCATTAAGGAAGTCGTCGTCCAAGAACAGCGAAGGATATCGTACGTCTGTCGCTGAGGGAAACGGGGTAGCAAGTAGACGATTATCACTGGCATATTTCGTATCGAGATACAACAAAGCCGATAAGACGCCACCTTCACCCATACCGCGGGTGTCACTCCAGATGCCTCGAGGATCATCTTTGTAGGCAGGAACTTCAGCCGATGAAATGACTGGGAGGTTTACCGGTGGCTTTATGGTTGAGTTTCTAGATATGCCTACAGAAAAATCCACGTAGGTAAGCTCACCAAGTTCTCGCTTGGGGAAATCTGGTCTCGCCGAAAAGGGATTCCATTCGCACGGCTCACCGGAACCATCATCATCGGGTATCAATGGCCAAGGCTTCTCGACAGTGCTCATTGCGCCCTGAGGCGGCCACTCATCCATAAGGCATGGTTTCTTGTAGCTCCAAAAGCGTATTGCTTCATCTTCTGCCATTCTCTTGGAACTCAAAGGACCGGTCGCATACTCCCATGCTTTCTTGACGCGGATTTGTGTCTCAACTCTGTCACGATCCTTGGGTATGTAAAGCTGCAGAGCATGTTGATAGCTGTCCACGAATATTCCGATGGCCTGTTGAGAATCTTTGTCCGTTGGTACTGGTTGGAGAGCAGCCTCCGAGTCGGGAAACACGGTGCGTCGAGTGCGTGATGCAATATAAGGAGCAACGCTACTAAGATCCTCCACG